CCTGGTAAAATGTATTTAGAGACACATATAAAACGATCTGGTCATGCATAAACTGAAATTGACTGAAGCTTTAATTGACTGAAGCTATGTTTTCAAACATTTAAAAGTCAGAAGAAATGCGTGCAGAGTCAGAAAGCAATGTGAGTATTAGTGACTTGTAGTGTAACCATGGAGTTCTAGTTTTTGTCATTAAACAATATGTCACGTGATTAACCACGGGTCCAGGTAGTCCTGTGGGTACCTGGGTCCTACACAGTACCCACCCGACCCGGGTACCCGAGTTACCCATCGCAGCCCTAACTTTATTTCATTAAAACAAACTGAACTTTAAAAAAGGTAAGACATTATGGACAAAATAAGTATGACAGACATCTGTTGTATAGGGTCATGTAAGTCACTCTTGTAAGTCACTCTTGTTAGTCACTCTTGTAAGTCACTCATGTAAGTCACTCATGTAAGTCACTCTTGTAAGTCACTCTTGTTAGTCACTCTTGTAAGTCACTCTTGTAAGCAAACGTCATGAACTATTTTAACTTCTCTAATGGTTTACACGAAGCAGTGTCACAGCATGAAAACGTATTTCAACTTGTTGTAGTCTCTGGTCATGCTGAGTGCTGATGAAAATCTGTTTGTGACATTACAAGTAATTCCAAGCCTCTAATTGAGGTAGCTACAATCCCAGGTGTGATGTCATGCAGCTGGGGTTCATGACCTCAGTTATGAGGGTTTATCTGTGCTGATGAGTCTTTCACACGGTGTCAGGTAAACATGTTGCTAAGCAGACTAACACGAGCTATAAATGAGAGAAGGTAACAAGTCAGCCTCCGTCTCTGTGTTACATGCTACTAATTCATTGTTTATCACCCAGTTTCACGCTGAACAACATACGAAAACTTTAATACACTCTGATAGTCATATACTTTCTAACCGTGATCTCACAAGCCTTACCCAGGGTTAAGCCCTGCCAGGATCTACTGAATGTGTGTTTTAGCTGACACACCCTGATAGTTGAGATTATAAATGAAACAGTCTTCAGAGGAGGGATTAAGCCTAACTCACTCACCAGGACCTAGCTGACACTCTTTGGTTACTGGAAATTATTTAGACTGCCCGGAGGCCAATATTAGGTCTAATTAGAATCATGATATTTTAGAATAACATATGTTATGGTTTATACAGGTGACTTGTATGTTATTGAGAACAAGACAGCCTCCGTGGTCCAGTGGATAGAGTGGAGGGTTGAGGGTTTTATCCCTGGCCACGTCACATCAAAAGACGTTAAAAGATAGTACTTGTTGTTACCCTGCTTGGCGCTCGGCATTAAGGGGCTAAAACAAGGAGTGGTCTGGTCGGAGTCAGTATACTGTGTCTGAGTGAGGTGTTCATGTTATGCTGTGGAATGGTATCTAGAACTATAGACATGATAGAAGTACAAGCAGCCACACACACACATGTGGCTGTATAAGTGCAATAATCTTGAACGTGACGTTAATCCCCATTTCACCTCACCACCGTATTGATAACAGCACCAATAAAGAGGAAGAGGCTTAAATGCAAAGTGTTACCTTGAATGCATTTTTATTATAAAATGTGAAAAAACCTCTGACATTTGAAGAACAAAAGTTACTAAATGGCGCTTTTATCCCGGTTTGCCTGACAAGGGCACTTAGTTTGGATTCCGAGATAAATCCCGGCATTCACCACTCCTGGGCCTCATTCCACAAACTGATCTTTAAGTGCTGAGGTGATTGTAACTCCGGGGCGGTCGGGTAGCCTAGTGGTTAAAGCGTTCGCTCATCACGCCGAAGACCCGGGTTCGATTCCCGACATGGGTACATTGTGTGAAGCCCATTTCTGGTGTCCCCCGCCGTGATATTGCTGGAATATTGCTAAAAGCGGCGTAAAACTATACTCACTCACTCACTCACTGATTGTAACTCCCATCATATACAATAATGAAATCACATACTAAAATATAATAACCATAATAAAAAATCATACAAAAGACAGGCTTACGATAGTCAAGTGCGAAAGAGCGCTTTGTGGAATGGGTCCTTGTTCTGAAAACAGCAGTTTAAATCCTAGACTGACAAAGAAATATAGTTATGTTTTTTAGAAATATATATCTACAAAATTAATAATAAAATCCAAATGGAGCCCTGAACAATGCTTAATAATTAGAGCTGAGGCAGTCCAGACTTGCCACATCATTCTTAACATGAGTTAGATTGAGTTTCTAATTTGTAATCTAGGGTCTGGGAGAAAGGTCCATCCATCTCATCCGACTGAGACACTTATCTAGCGTCACCAGCCATTTTGACTTTCCAGGCCAGGGGTCTCCAGTCAAGAAGATAAATATGGTGCACTGGGGACTCGTGTTCCTCAGAACTCACTGGTCAGCTTGACCAGTGAGGGTAACATCACAAAGCGTTGGCTTGGCATACACAGGAGTAGGTTATTAAAGAGGAGTGATCTAATGGTCTTGTATCCAGTGTAGACTCTAATGGAAGCTATTACTTGGAGCGTAATTCCTCCGAGGTTTCCTCGGCCAGTTAATGGTGGGTCTGCCCTACTGATCAACCTGGGGGTTAACAAGCCATGAGTGAATCAATACAATTCTGCCCAGATATGAATTACATATGCGACTCTTTGGATTACCAAAACATCACTTTGCAAGTTCGGCCACTGTTCTGAAGCTGAAGTCTACTCAAATTCAGATTGGTTTAATAGGCTCAGCTAATATTAGACCATATGATAACACTGCAAAATAATGCTGAGAGCAAAGTTTCGGCCAGTAAACTCAAACGTTATGGCTTAAACTAGAACCTGTTTGAGCCTTAGACTCTGATAAAGAGTAACCACTGGAAAGAACTGATGAGAGTGAGTGAGTGAGTTGGGTTTAAGGCCGCTTTTAACAGTATTCTAGTTATATCACGGCGTGTCAGCTTAATGTGGGAGGAAAGTTTGAAGTGATGCAGGTCTCAGACGTTTACCACCTTGGTGAAAGCCACGAGCACGGGTATGGTGCTGACAAACCTAAAAACATAATTGGGGCGAACCGGGATTCGAAACCACAATCATGTGTTTCTGGCGTGCCCAAGGGACACAACTCTGCACAGCAAATTGCGGCGCCTTAGACGAGTGGGCCACCTGTGCCACAATAACTGATCAGAAGTGTCCTCATGTGCAGGCTGAAAGTATAACAAGCTACAAGGAAATAATGTTCAACATTTTGACTTGTTTAAGCATTGTTTTGCTAAAACATAATGTGAACAATTGTATCATGAAGCTCTAAATGCAGAAAAATAAAAGCCACCAAATGAGACTTCATATTAACTGGTAGAACTGCATGGTATTATCGGTATACTTCAATACACGTCTCAAATGATAAGTATGGCAATATATTTTTTTCTTTTCCGATATACTTGGTAAACATGGTAACAACTTTCGATATTAATTGTTTAACATAACATCTACACAGAAATTCATTCATAACTCAATGCGGAAGTGTTTTTTGTCTCTCTGTGTTATCTCCCCTGATTCCATGACTATATACTAGCAGCGACTGACCATGCTGCAGAATATTTACTTTAGTCTGTGGGAAATAGAATCTGTATACATGTACAATCAATGTCAATCACTTAAGCATGTTAAGTTCCCAATATATCACAATATGTATCACAATTTACTGCAGTACAAATTGTTTGCCAGTACGCAGCCCTACAGGTGTCAGTTACTACAATGGCTGACCACAGTAAGCCTACTCTGTGATGACCTGTTAAAGCACTGCAGGAGTCTTGAACAGAAACATAAGAAATGTTGTGATTGACCCATTATCACGGCCACTGTCATAAAGTCGGGTCCAGTATTGATTTCTGACCAGTGTGATCCGCTTCTAAGAATGGGGATGTGTAATTTTGTTGTTAAAGCCAGGCTTCCTAGGCTGATCTCCGACAAGGAAGCTGTAAAGGACAGGTTGTTAGTAGGTATCTAGAGGCAGCAAGTAGAATGATGAATACTAGCAAGTGTTCATATAATCGCACTATACATATATTACTATGGGGTTGGAGTTGTTTGGTCACGGTTAACAAGCTGATTAAAGCCGGTTTGAGGCATTGTATTGTAAGCATGGTAAATGGTTTAGAATGTATCCCTAGCACTGTGTCATCAAGGACTCATCTGGACCCACTTGCACAAAGCGATCTTAGCACTACAACTATTGTAAGCCTATGTTAAAGTAGTTGAGTTACGATCATCTTAGTGCTAAGATCGCTTTGTGCAAGTGGGCCCAGGGCTGCTCAGCAGCGGTAGAAACTAACAGTTTCAGTCCGCTAGTCCTTATAATGATAACATATCGCAAAACCTCTAAAAATGGCAAATTTCTACCAGTGCTTATAATACCTTTACTACTGGGCAGTTTGGCAAGGACTAGTGCCAATTTCTAACGCTGCTCAGAGGCTGATAATCGGCCCCAAGTCTGCAGCAAATGACAGTATAAATTCCAAATTTGACTGTACATTTACGCAATTCCTTATAAATTACAAAAATAAGAACAGTTACAAAATCCAAATTTAAACAATATCGCAATTTGTTTCCAATTTGCCTGCCAAGGGCACTTAGTTCGAATCCTGGATAAATCGCTGGAAATGCTTGTCGGCATTAAAGAGAAGATGACATCAGGTGGTCAGGATCATTGACAGTGTTGGTTGCGTGTCATCGTACTCCTTAGTGTGGAATGCTGCTCATAATATCAGCCATTGGTTTGCCATGGCTAACGTGATGATGCTGGAATATAACAGTCAGAACAAAATAGATAAAATTGGTTGTATCTTGGAGCCAAGATTTGAAAATTATTTCACAGGATAATTCATGTAGCTTCACATGTCTCTAAGTTGTTCTCCAAGACTCATAGATTGCGATATATGAATATGATTTAATTTAAAAAATAAAAAAAATTCCTGTATTTTGTTTTATCTGCATGTTCTATTTTTATGTTACAGTTGAATTTGAAGATGCTATCAACGACGCACAAAGACGAAATTTTGGTAAGTAAATCAATTTTGTATCTATATATGTCCTCATGGTAGTCAGGCTGAATTATTCAACAAGGTGGCAAGTACAATTAACTTTTTTGGGCAGTGGGGTAGCCTAGTTGTTTAAGTGTTTGCTCGTCACACCAAATGCCCAGGTTCAGTTCCCCACATGGGTAAAATGCTTGAAGCCCCTTTTATGGTGTCCCCCGCCGTGATATTGATGGAATGTTGTGTAAAACCTCATTCATCTTTGGTTCAAATCCTGGTTTGCCCCAATTATGTTTCTAGGTTTGTCAGCACCATACACCAAAGAATTACAAACATATGAAGCTCCCCTGCTGTGGTAGAACTGAATAATTTTCAAACCGGTTCAAACCCTACTCACTCACTCACTCCATACTGTGAATATTGCCTGTCACTGAGCAGTACTGACAAAGCTGTATATCATCATGCTTCCTCACTCAATGACAGTGAAAAGATCTATCATTGATTTGAAAAAGCAATCAATGATTTATTAATTATTAACATAATTGAAATATGCTCAATTATAGAACATGAAACATGAAACCATCCCATCATAAACAAAAGATTAATTCGAACAACACTAGTATCAACAATTGTCTGACTAGGGTCTGTGTCTAACACTGTTTCTTCCGAACATCACTTATGTCAGCTATTGTCTGTTCATTGTTTGTTTTTACCACTGTTTCTTTGGAACAACTCTAGATGTCAACAATTGTCTGACTAGGGTCTGTGTCTAACACTGTTTCTTCCGAACATCACTTATGTCAGCTTTTGTCTGTTCATTGTTTGTTTTTAACACTGTATCTTTGGTCCCTTCCAGGAAGTGAAAATGAACATATAAAGGCTGACATCCCTAGTCAAGCGAAAGATGTGAATCCTCCTGCGGCGTCGGGCACAGATCCCAAAGCGCCAGAAACACCAGCCACAAATGGCACAACGCACTCTCCCAAAGGCACCCCACAGCCACTCGCCGGCTCAGAGCACAAAAATATCGGTCCACATACATCCATGTTTGGTGGAACTGATGTAATCTTTTTAGGTGAGTTGACTACGGAACTCATTCTGGGGTTGGTTATGTCAAATAATAATATAGGCTCACTCCCGGAAACAAACCTGGTTCAACTAGACCTAGAGGTTAAAGGGAGGTTTTGTTTGATGTAAGACTTATAATAAACAATGTTGTAAACAAGAGCCCATGTGACTGTCAGGTTTAGTTCCCCTTATGGGTATATAAGTGTTTCAGGACGGTCAGGTAGCCTAGTGGTTAAAGCATTTGCTCGTCACGTCGAAGACCCGGGTTTGATTCCCAACATTGGTACAATGTGTGAAGCACTTTTCTGGTGTTCCCCGCCGTGATATTGCTGGAATATTGCTAAAAGCGAAGTAAAACCAAATTCACTCTCTCACATCAGTGTTATATTGTGTTAAGCTAAGTCTTAATGCCTCTTCCTCTATACTGGTCCTGGGGCAGTAGGGTAGCATAGTGGTTGAAGTGTTCACCTGGGTTTGATTCCCCTCATGGGTACAGTATGTGCAGCCCATTGCTTGTGTCCCCTACCATGATGTTGCTGGAATATCCACTCTCTTACATGCAGAGTTACGGCTACTATGTGTTTTAAGAGGCTCTCATGAGACTTTTTTGCCTGCTTCTGAAACATCTTTTGACCCAAGCTGATTGTCTTCAAAGAAATTTCTGAGGCTGCTAACATGGAAAAAAGAACTTTCTCATTGTACGATTTACTGTAGGAGAAATTTACAAAAATCCATCTATTTTGCCCAGGCCATGTTTTTGAACGTGATAGTATCTTTAAACAATCCATCAATTTTGCTCTGTCCATGCTTTTGAGCGTGATAGTATCTTTAAAAAATCCATCTATTTTGCTCTGTCCATGCTTTTGAATGTGATAGCATCATAGGTCTAACAGGTCTAAAGCTTTCAAACAAGCAAGACAGCTAATTGTAACATATTTTTGAGTGAGTCAAAATGAAAGGGCATGCACACAGTATAAAAAATGCTGATGTAAGGATGAGTTGACATGTATTATATAAGCAGTAAATACAAACCATACCTCACAGTAAGTGGCTGACTGACTGGCATCTCCCTGTTGTATAACTATGTCTGTCATCATGCCTTGTGAGCAGCAGGAGGTATATATAGGCCAGGTCCCTTTGTCAGTCAGGTGAGGTATATAAGCTTCTTTGTGAAGTTCAGGGTCAAGCAAGACATCCTATTGGTTTGTTATCAACTGTTCATTGTGTGGACTAGTTAGTTTCTGAAGTGGAAAGTTGTGATATTCTGTGTCTAGACCAGCCATTTTGTGTTTTCAGTGACCGTAGCCGCGTGCAGTGTGGCGGGCTTGATAGGCATCATAATGGCTGGGGTGTGCTGGTACAAGTAAGTTCTTCACTTGATTCTTAATTAACGGACTGTAATTACACTGTAATTACACTGTAATTACATGAATAATTCATCGTGGTGTATGATACATGGCGGTTGTGAACACGACTCGGGGCCCATGTCCTCCGCAGTAGACACACGCAGATGTGATGCTGGAGTGAAGCACAATCGCTTTGATTGGAATCGGGGTGTTGTGATCTCGACCTGATAAGTTGCTGAAATAAATACAGCTGTGATGTCTTGCCCTGATAAGTTGCTGAAATGAATACAGCTGTGATGTTGCCTTGACCTGATAAGTTGCTGAAACAAATACAGCTGTGATGTTGTCTTGACCTGATAAGTTGCTGAAACAAATACAGCTGTGATGTTGTCTTGACCTGATGAGTTGCTGAAACAAATACAGCTGTGATGTTGTGATGTTGTCTTGACCTGATACGTTGCTGAAAGAAATACAGCTGTGATGTTGTGATGTTGTCTTGACCTGATAAGTTGCTGAAACAAATACAGCTGTGATGTTGTCTTGACCTGATGAGTTGCTGAAACAAATACAGCTGTGATGTTGTCTTGACCTGATAAATTGCTGAAAGAAATACAGCTGTGATGTTGTGATGTTGTCTTGACCTGATACGTTGCTGAAAGAAATACAGCTGTGATGTTGTCTCGACCTGATAAGTTGCTGTGATGTTTCTTGAACTGGTAGGGGGGGGGGGGGGGGGGGTGCAGGGGGGGCCCAGTCGTCTATGATTAATATCATTATCAAGTTTTAAAGTTGGTTTAACACTATCATATACTATTGCAATAGTGCAAATAGCCCAAATTGTCAGCCCTACTGAAATCTGGCTTGTGGCTGAAGTTGAGACTATCAACACACACAGGATATTTGTCTCATGTAACAATTTTACTTTGCCAATCCTGCACAATACAGAAATAGTGAAACACCATGTTCATATGCCTTGTGGAAAAAGAGAGCATCAGTCCTCAAAAAGTGAATATTGATCTCTCTGTTTTCACACGCGTGGTGTAAAGAATGTTTTCTATGAATCCGTGACACAGGAGCATTGATTACTGAAGGAGTCGTGTAGTATGTCAATACACTGTTTGAGAATCGAGACGATGGCAACTTTGGATTCAGCTGTTGCATTGGTTTCCACTTGCTCACAGACATAAGCCAAGGGGTGAGGTAGCCAAGTTGGTCAAGTGTTCTGCAGTCCTGGGTTTGATTCCACCATGGCACTATGTGTGAAGCCTGTTCCTAGAGTACCACATTGTCATGTGGCTGATATATTAATATGAATGATATAAAAATAATTATTAGCTATTATACATACATGTCTTTTCAGGGCTACTTCTTCCCCCTTCATCAGTGAATTATTATCTATAATATCCATACTATCCTTTGTCATGATTATATCCAGCCTCTGTATACCTATAAAGATTCCCGACCCGTGCAGATCTGTGTTAGAATAGGTCTTCAGCAACCCATGCTTGTCGTAACAGGCAGCTAATGGGATCAGGTGTTCAGGCTCGCTGACTTGGTTAATGCATGCCATCATAACCTGATTGCGTCGATACATGCTCATAATTTCAATTATTTGATTGTCTGGTCCAGACTGTATTATTTATATATACCGTATTTGACGTAATAAACGCCCCGCTCTAATAAGAGCCCACCTCAATATTTGCTAATATATTGATCAATGTACACAAGATTTATTTATTTGTGTATAATACGCAATCATGTGTTATATGCACCCTTAATTATGGGCAATTAAATTCTGGAAAATATATTTGTCGTGTATGATACGCACATACTTTTCTTTTGTATTATTTCAGGATGTCATCATAAACTATGAAATTTACAATCTTTCAACTTTTTTTTTTGTCACCAAAATTATATTCTAAATTTCTAATTACGTCGAATACGGTAGCTGGAATATTGCTGAGTGCAGTGTTAAACAAACAAACAAACAAACAAACATAACAGTTGTGACATTGAGGAGTGAGATGAAGTCCTATGGTTCTCATGACTGTTCCATTCTGTCCTGGTAATGTACTTTCCCAAACAAACAAACAAACAAACATATAAAGACTCCCATAAGTCCTCTAGCTTGAGACCAGATTCAGGGAGTGTTAGTAGCCTAGTGGTTGAAGCTTTCACTTGTGTTGCCCAAGGCCCAGGTTTGGTTCTACACACGGGGACAATGAAGGAAGCCTCTGTCTCGTATTACTGGAATGTTGCTTTAAGCAATCAGATTGTTAGATATTTTATTGCATTTCCAACTTTGTTAATGATAAAGAAGAATGTCCCATCAAAATGTAATAAAATCAACTTGTCAAGAAATTATTGCAATATCCCAGGTAGATTGATTAAATTTGAAGTATCTTAGCATGAAGGAGAGGCTCTGATACACATCAAATCATAGCAAAGCATGTCTTCACCGTTTCTGTGGCAACACAGGTGACAATAGTGACCAGATCTGTAGATATTGTCCTGCATATCAAATAGAAGCGTAGAGTATCTTTACAGTTTGACTGGTAACCAGTCGATAACGTACTGCACATGAAACGAAATCTTTCTTGCGTGTGGTGCTGACCGATAGGGATCTTAATCAGAGTGAATCTGACATTTCAGCCTTGCTCAACCGATCCTGGCACGTCTCTGTAGATCACTCAAGTTCCTTCCCAGCGAGTGACACCTTCGTTACACTCTCGGTAACATTGCTGCCACCAGTGTGGGTGCGGCCAATACAAGAATCTTGAAATTTGCCCTCTAACCCCAAATCTAGTAACATTTCTACTTTTGTTTATGTGTTTGAGAATGCCATCTTAGTTCATTTTGAAAAGGGCGGCACGGGTGGCCCAGTCATCTAAGGCACCACGGTTCCCTGTGTAGAGTTGCGTCCCTTGGGCACGCCAGAAACCTATGATTGTGGGTTCGAATCCCGGTTCACCCCGATTATGTTTCTAGGTTTGTCAGCACCATACCCGTGCTTGTGGGTTTCACCGAAGTGGTAAACATCCGAGGCCTGCTTCACTTCGGTCTTCTCCCCCCACATTAAGCTGACACGCCGCGATATAACTGTAATACTTTTAAAAGCAGAAAGAGTGTTCGGCGTCAAGGCAGTCATCACTTGTTTGTAAACATAATTGTCCGTCAGTTGCAACTCCAAGCACGGTTGTAGCCACCTATCACAGTGGGGAGCTTTGACTGGTGGCAGCTATTATAGTATAGCAAGCTTGGCGAAGGGGATGTCGCTTTGCGGAGCTTGTAGATCACAGTGTCATTGGTGCCCTTTGTAGCTGAATACCAATATGGTCTTTTACCATTGATGTAAATCATACACACACATACAAAAGTCTTTATCTAAAGGAGTTATTGATCCAATGACTAAGTTTGTTTTACAGTGAATGATTCTATCTCTGGATGACTGACCTAAATAAATGCCCTGGAAACTGATAAAACAAATGAATATGATTTGCAATGATAATGTATCAAGATGGACAGCTGTATCTCCGGATACAGTGTTAGGGGTGATGTGGGCAATATTGATCAGTTTCTCAAACAATGTGGTTGTAGAGTCACGGAATCTAGGCCACACACCTGACTGCCTGATTGAGATTTCTCATTAGGAGTTGGACGCTTCTTCATCAACGCTTTAAAAGTGTTAATTCATTCACCAGATGTTTTTCACAATTATCCATAACTTCCTGGTTGGCATGCTTGAGATTATTTTCCTTTGACAGATTTGGTTCAGATTGTCATTTGACAAGCAGTGTTTGAAATTATTTTGTTTGTTGTTGTTTGTTGTGTCCAAAGGGCACATATATCCTCTCATTGTGAGTGACCGCCTCCCTGGTCTCGTGGATTAAGAATCTGCCCAGAGATCAGAAGCAGGTAGCACGATTCCCGTCTACGTCCTTCCATAAGACATAAAAATATAGTACTTGTTGTTTCACTGCCTGGCACTCGGCATTAAGGGGCTAAAGTCAGGGGCTCTGAGTCTGAGTGGGGTGGTACCCATGTTAAACTGCGGCAAGGTATCTCAGTATATACAACTGGCATTGGTCCTGACAAGTGCAAGCATGCACATTGCTATATAGGTGCAATAATCTTGAATGTGGCGTTGAACCCCCATTTCACCTTACCTCATTATAAAAGAGACTCCCTGTAGGGAATATGGATAAAATGGCAGTCAGTACCCATTATGGTCGCAAGAGCCGATTTGAGATAGGAGCAGGTGGTTAGAACATTATAACAATCCTTTTCTAAGTAGACTGTTCCATTGATTGTGAAAGTGATAGGTCCACTTCAGAGCCATCTTGCTAATAGATTTCTTTTGTGGTCAGGCTATCTGAAGCACTGTGATAATTGTCCTGGCAGTGATTTATAGTCCAGTACAAAGGTGTGGTATAACACATATTACCCTGACACAACCGTGCAGTTTGCATGATATAACACATACTCATGTAATGTTTCAAAATATCCTGATTCTTATTGAGACTTATCGATCAAAATTTAACAAAATTCGAATCAGAATATGCTTGGCGTGAAAGTGTTTTAGACTGATGTTTTGTGTGACAATTATTATGTCAATGGCACTGGTCCTATTGGTTCTACCAGAATTAATATTTCTTTAACCATTTTTTATAAAAAATGCAATTCAGGTGTTTTTAAGCAGTGTATCATATTCTCAGCTTCATGCAGTACAATGCTTTCCATCACTACTGAACCCACAGTTCTCATGAAGAATACAACGTCACTGTTTGAAGGATCACTTTTTCATGAAGCACAGGATGTGTCTACATTTACAAGTGATATTTCAAACCTTCTGAAGCATCTCCTTGCATGACCAGACATTTTCAAGATGAAGGACTTATTCCTAGTTGAGAGTCTTCCCTTCTTCCCTCCAGTCCAGGAACTGTCGTGTCTTTCAGAGGGAAACTGCCGACAGTGCATTAATCTGTATCCATGCAACCATGGATCCTCCACATTTTTC